CAAATTGAATAAGACTTAATCCATCTAAAATCTTGGCTTGACGAAAAAAGATTATCCCTAAATTTATTAAAAACTAAATTTATGCTGATAGGTTTAGGCAACGATTGAAGAGTTTTAGTTCCCTTGAACTGTCTATTGATGATCATATTCTGGAAAGAGAAGATAGCTATAAATATCTTGGAGTTATTATCAATGAGACGCTTTCTTGGGCTGACCATATTGACTATGTTAGAGTTAAATTGGCTAAGAGACATGGGATTTTCAAACGCATCAAACATCTACTGCCATTCCATGCAAGACTTTTTGTGGTAAACAGCTTAATTTTGCCTCTCCTCGATTATGGTGATTTAGTCTGGGGTGACAAAAACAATGTATCGCTGATGAATGATCTGCAAATTCTTCATAATAAAACTGCAAAGTCTGTGTTGGATCTACCAATCGATGCTTCTAGTAGCCAGGCTTTAACAATGTTGAAGTGGTATCCTTTGTCGTATAGAAGACAATTCCACAGATGTAGTTTTGTTTATAAAGCCCTGAACAATAATGTTGACTTTAATATGGAAGAAATTAAAGGAAGTGATTTACACTGTCATGATACAAGAAAAAAACAGTTAGTAAGACTCCCCCTTTGTAGAACCAATTGGGGACAACAAACATCGCACTATGTTTTTTTAATGAATGGAATAATCTTCCGCCATTTGTTAAAGATTCTAGTAGCTTTTTAGCTTTTAAAAACAAATATGTCTCAGTATGTAATGAATAACTTATTATCCTAGTGTTGACCATTTAATTAACTTTTTGAACTTTCTTAGGATTTCTAATTAATTAATTTTCATAATCTTGTTGCATGCTGTATTCTGTTTGGAGTAGATATATATTATAGTCTGAATAATTATAGTCCGTATTTTATGTAAATAATTATTTCCTTCTTATTTGAGGACCCTTATGAAAACCATCTTTGATGATAAGGCTTCCTCACAAAAGATTGTTTAAAATAAAATAAATAAAATAAAATTTGCAAAATGATCTTAGCGTTACCAAATCTCCAATCTTGAATAACAACAACATATTTCGTCTAGCGCCGTGAATTTAACGCAAGACAAAAATGCACGTCTGACCACAACGACCGACATAACGCATATTGCCAATCGACATATAGTATTGCCAACCGACATATTGCATATTTTGGTCATTTTTTATCACAATGATTCAATAAAGGTTATCTTTAAAACAGGGAATGGGGAATCCGGGAATCGGGAAATCCGGGAATCCAGAACTAATAAGACGGGGATATTATGAATGTGCTTGTTGTAAAGCGTGTTCGCTACTGTATACAATGCGAATCAGTTGTCTTAAATAACTCATGCTTATTATATATTATACAGTAGTCCCCCACTAACTCGAACTCGCTTAACTCGAACTCCTCGCTAACTCGAACTAAATCCAATTCCCCTTGGATCTGACACTGTTTTTTATAGTAATTTACTCCGCTTAACTCGAACTCGCTTAATTCGAACTCCTCGCTAATTCGAACAAATTTTGTTTTCCCTTGGTCAAATTTATCCCGTTAACTCGAACTTTGTTTTCGAGTCGTGGACCGCCAAACCTTAAAATGTCAGAACATAGCATTTTGACAACCGGTAACTTGGATTTTTATTCAAATAACAACAATTTAATCGGTGTATAAATCAGTGATCATAAATTTTAAGAGATTATACACACAGTTGCGACGATTGTTATTGATCTAATTTTTTTAGTTCCTTTTGTAAATTTCTACATATTTTTCATATCCAAAGAACTTTAGTTTGCATGGAAATTGCATGCCTCCTCCATCACCCAAGTTAAAAAGATACTGACTATAAAGAACTTTAGTTATAGGAATGAACAATTAAACCTTTTGTAATTTTGATGAACACTATAATAAAACTTTTATACCTTATTAATTATTAACATAATAAACGAAATCTGACACCAAGTCCGGTTAATTCGAACCCCCGCTAACTCGAACAATTTTTTGTTCCCCTTGGGAGTTCGAGTTAGCGGGGTTCTACTGTAGATTATAACAGCGCTGTGCAAATATGTGATTTTAATAGCATATAATTTTATTAATTTCAATTAGACATTAGCGTCTATAGAATTTTGCAACCTCGTACCCAGGGCTAGCCGCAAATTGAAGGCGGCGGCTTCAACTCACGACTGGCCCTGGGTACGAGGTTGAGAATTTTGTTCCAACGCGCAAGTTTTTTGAATTAATAGACTGTAAAATGCATGCATCTTACAGGAAACGGGATAACATTAAACTAAAGCCCACGCTTTATATGTTAAATATTAAAGCCAAGGGGCGCAATTCGGCGGCGGCGGTGACGCGGTATGTTTTTAGTTTTCATTCACGGATACTTTGTAATCCCAAATTACTTACAGTACTTTAAAATTAACATATTTTTTATTATTTTTTAACAACTAAAAATCGCACAGATTTGGTTTAAGCAGACGTTGGAGTTTTTAAACTCCACAGTAATGTACCTTAAAGTATCCGTGAATAAAAACCGTACCTCGTCGCCGCCGAATTGCGCCCTGTTCGCTTTAATATTTAACATATAAAGCGTGGGCTTTTAGTGTTATCCCGCTTCCTGTATGATGCATAAACTTGCGCGTTGGAACAAAATTCTATAGACGCTAATGTCTAATTGAAATTAATAAAATCATATGTTCAATTAAAATCACATATGTGCATAGCGCTGTTATACATATATAATATATCATTAGCATAAGCGGCTATATAGTAAGACAACTGATCCGCACTGTATACTGTATGTTCATCGTTTGTATTATTCTAAACAAAGTAGCAAATGCGTTTTCCAACAAGCACACTAATATCCCCGTACTTATCAGTTCTGGTTCCCCGTATTCCCCGATTCCCGTATTCCCCGATTCCAGGTTTCCCCGATTCCCGTATTCCCCGATTCCCCATTTCCTGTTTTAAAGATAGCCATTCAATAAAGGTGTCAAATGACAGCTAAAAGGCTGATATTTATAAACACGAAAAAAGAAAACCTATATAAACGCAATACCTAAACGCACGATAACATGTCAAAGTTGGATAATCTTTTTTTGATAATCTTGTTGTTTTTGATAATCTTGTTGTTTTTGATAATCTTGTTGTTTTTGATAATTTTGTTGGATAATCTTTTTCTTTTTTTTTCAGCATTGGTATCATGTCAGTTTTCGTTAATGTTCGTACTCGGTCCGCTAGTGGGATCTTTCATCGACTGGTGTGGAATACGTAATATTTCAATTGCCGGAGGATTTCTATATTCTGTTGGCTTAATATCAGCTTCTTACGTAAATACAATCTATGGCCTATTTCCTACATTTTCTCTTATTTTTGCAGTGGCAGCGTCTTTATTGTATTCATCAATAGAGATCGGACCTATTAAATGTATGTCGTCGCGATATCAAGGAATGGCATGCTCTTTAGTATCCAGTGGAGCTCCCGCAGGAATGTTAAGTTTTTCCTTGATAATAACATTTTTATTGGAACAATTTCACTGCAAAATTATGTTTCGTATACTTGGATATCTTGGAGTCATTATTAGTCTGTTAAGTTTAACCTATGGTTGGATTGAAGAAGTTCCAAATATTTCTGAAAAGAAGAGAACACCATTTTGCGACATGTCTTTACGTAAACGTCCTCGGTTCTTTGTCTTTATGCTTGGATCATCAGTATCAATGTTGGGATGGTCTGCTGGAAACTTCTTTTTGGTGAGTTCACTTGCTACAAGAGGCTTATCAACATGCATGCATTAATGCTACAACGTCTAAATAAAGGGAAAATTTCAACTTCGCTCATAGGCTATAGCAAATATCATCTAGTATACAATGTATACGACAAAGTTGTATATAGCTGTAACAGTGCACTGTTTGAAAAGTCCTACGTTATTGGCTGAATGGTGTTATTTGGTGGTCGTAGTAGTCGACCAATAAACGTGTTTTTTACTATGACGTATTCATTCTAATATATTCTAGTTCTTATATAAGCATAAATTCAGGCCATAAATAATTAATAAACTTTCTTTAGCAATATCATTCACATTTTAAAATATTTTATCAATATAAGATCATGGAGTCCATGTTGTATATAAGATACAAAAACCACTCACCATCGGCTTCTGTTTGTATTATACAACATGGCTCATGCTGTATATATTACAGATCTTGTTTTTCCTACAGGTAGATCGTGCTAAATCTTACGGCATTCATGAAAACAAATCAAAATGGTTTTAATTCGCGATTGGAATTGTTAGCATCCCGAGTGCACTTCTTGCTGGAAAGATTGGAGACATGGTAAAACATCGCGTTAGGTTGACAATAATATGTCTCTTCTTACATGGTATTAATACATTGTTGAGTTACTTATATAAAACTTACATCACTATGTTTATATACTCAATGGAATGTTCTTTGGTGCTTATAACGCCATATTATGTGTCGCCATATTGGATTGTGTTGGAGCAGAAAATATAGCACAAGCCTTTGGATTTCTGATTGCCTTTCAAGGATCATTTCTATCTCTTGGGCCACCTATAGCAGGTAATAATAATCGATCAATTGTTTCTGCCATAGGAAGCAAGTAAGCAGTCAGCCTAATTTATACAGCGGGCTTATATATTTTGTACATTTTCTTTACCGCAGTTGCAACTTCTGGCACAGAGTCATGTTATCCCGCATTTCACTCCGCCGACCGTTTCCTCATGTGCCATACCGTAGAATAAGAATGAAAATATGAGAAAAGTAAAAGCAGTACTGCAAGTCATATGGGCTGACTCATGGTGTCTGTTAACACATTTTCACCTAACATCACCCTATGTCCGATATTGAGATGAATGCAGTATAAATTGCCTCATCTAACATGACCCGCCGGATATGTGCCGTTCAGGAGTAATGTCTTCCCACAATGTATATATCCCCCCTTTAACAGTTTTCGTTTTAGTTTGTCATATGATCGCTATTTTAAGTGTTAAGATATTCCTCAAACCGTTAAATTCGATGTCGTGACTGAAGCGAATCTGGTATCGTGTAACTGGGGTCCAGCTTAAAGTTGTGTTTCTAAATGTGGTTGTATGTTTTCCCCTTCAGGTTGGTTGAGAGATACAACTGGGACATTTAAACTTCCCTTAATTGTTGCTGGATGCTTTGAAATTCTTGGAGCATTAGTATCGATTCCAAGTGCTAGAGTACAGAAACGTGAACAAGATTTAGGACATAACTGTGAGAACAAAAGTACTGCTGTTTAGGGGATGTATACATTTGATCAGGCTCTAGCGATACCCTCCTCTTCTTAAAGGGGTATTGTTTGTTTATCTCATTTGAAAGAACAATTTGTGACGTGACATGCATGCACATCCGTACAATTAATTACATGACTTATGATTTCTATCAAAAAATTTTCCACTTCATTTTAAAAGTTCTTTCAAATGAGGAAACTAATTTTTTTATTGCCATATCCCTTTATTCCTTAATCAACCTACTAGAATCAAAATTACTGATATGAAGCTTTAAAAAAACGTTATACCTCGTGTCTTTATTTGGAACATTTCATATGTTTACCGGGTAACAGTAAAACCCCAGTGTTTCTTGAGTTTAGTATTAAGGTAATTCCACAGTTTTGCATTGCGCACTTTTACTGCGCATATCTTATAACTTATAATTTCATACATTATACGTACCGTTTAAAACAAAATATCATTTTATGACAATTTTATGTTACTCCAAAACATCTTTGGTTACATTAATCGTGCAAAGAATTACGTTAAAATCAATGTTTTCAAAAAAGGCATACAAAAGTGTAGCTAGGGTTCTCTGTGTCTGTAGTATATTTATTTACTTGTATTTCACGTTTTAATGCCACAATTCCCTAAAAAGATCGGTGACCC